GTGGTGACAGCTGGAGGCTGAGAATTGCATTCTCATTCATACACTGAAGGGGACCTGGGGCGACATGCGATTGTTGAGGGACGTGGGAAACGGCGGATGAGGTAAACCGAAGCCGCCTTGGTTGTTTCTGGAAGGCCCCTCCCCCACTCTGAGTCACCACATGCTGCAGAGAGGAGAGATGTGTTCTGATCACTTTTGTCTTCTCTGATCACGGGGCTGTTCAGCCCAGGGTGACTCAGTGGGAGCGTTCTGTGGGTCTTAAATGCTTTCAGCTGGGTGTTTCCATAGTGCTGTCGCCATGGCACCCAGCTAAGCACACAGCCGGTGGCTCAGCGGCAGGCGCGGACTGGAGGGGGCTGGCCACTGGGACTGCCCGCCCATGGGGAGCCCCAGGGCCATTGCAGATGGTTGGGCTGCCAGGTCGGAGGTGGGAGGTGCAGGCCGGGCGAGCTCTGTCCCCTGCACTTTCCACACAGCTCAGATGGGGCATCCCCATCCAACAGCAGGTCAGAGTGGCCGGGCCCTGCCGCGCTGGCTGACACCTCCTCTCCTCCCTGTCCCTGCACCGGCCCCTGTGGGATTAAGCTCCCTCCTGGCCTAGATTTCCAGAATCTAGCCTGCAGACGTGGCCTCTCTCTGTGAGGAGTTAGTGTCCTGGAAAAGGAGGTGAGGAGAGGTGCTGCCATTCCTAGACAGAGTGGCAGCCGTGTGTCACATGCTGACGCAGGCTCCGAGGCAGTAGGTGTGAGTTCCCTGGTCCCTTGGGGGCGGGTCTTTGTGCCTTGCAACTCAGGGACCATCGCTCCTCCCTGTCCCCAGGATTTGGGGGGCCCTGTTGGAGCACTGTGCAGCTGGAGTTCTCTCCCCCGACTTTCCCTGGGGTTCTATTGTGGCCTGTGTGCCACTCCCAGCCATTTATGGGGCTCCTTTGAGTAAATGAAAGCTTTAAAAATAAAATACTGCTCCCTCCCCGGCTAGGAGGCTGCCAGACCCTGCTAATGAGGCCAGTGCCCATCGCAGTACTCTCCCTCTGGGACCGAGCACGAGCGTGAGAAAGTTCTGTAGCCTAGAAACCCAGAAACCGCCTGTAGGGTGGGTAGCCGGATGGGCTCCAGGGGCCTGGGTTCGGAAGGTGCTGTTCTCAGGGTGAGGAGACCCAGGGGCCCCTGCAGCCTGGTTTACACTGCTGTCCTGGAGTGACCTCGCCAAGCAGCACCCTCCGTTTCCCCGAGTCCCTAAATTTAGACGGCAACCCGTGTGGAGGCTGTGGCTCTGGGCAGCCCCCTGGGCCTGCCTTTTCTCAGTGCCTCAGTTTCTTTTGTGGATCTCCTGCTGAGCACTCTCTGGCCTTGGGCTCGGGGCAGTTGCCCACCAGGCCCTCTGGGCTGACCACCACTAGGAAAGTCCCCAGGAAAGGCACAGAAGCCTGATGATGGGATATGTTGGGGTCTCCCCGTGGAACCTCACACACATTCCTGAGGCTGCCCCACTTAAGGGGTTCTGGGCACCACACAGCTCCTCTGTGCGCAAGGTGCAAGACCAAGGCAGGCACCCCATTACAGGGCACTCAAAGCCTGGAGGCAGCATCCCTGGCAGTTCCCTGGGGGAGAAGCAGGGCAGGACGCTGTGGGCAGCCTCGGGCCAGGCCTGGGTGTTGCTCTGGGTGGGTGTTTATCTCCAGGCCTCTCTGGCACAAGCCCACCTGTTTCTGAGCATGCCTTCCCCACCCAGTCCCTTTGGTCCTGAAGGTCAAGAGAGGAGCCCAGCCCAGGTGAGGCTGGAGCACGGCGTGCCCCATGCCGCCTCCGTGGCTGCAGCGTGTGTCCTGGCCACGGCCACCGTGCCCTCCCCAGGCCCCAGGGTACCCTCAAATCTGGCTGTCCCACTCCAGCCCCTTCTGGAGAAGGAGCTTGAGAGGTCACTGGAGGTTCTTGGGAGCAGGAGCAGGAAGCCCTGGTAGATGCACGTTGCATAACTAGAGGAAAAGTACTTCATGCTCCAGCTGTGGAGGAGGCGGCGGCGGAGGAGGCGGCGGCGGCGGTGGGGGCGGCGACAGAGCCTCAGCGTTGAGGAGCAGAGCTTGCTGGAAAGTCTGCTGAAGGCTGCCTTAAAGGGCTTCTCGCCTGTGATCAAACTTTTCACTTCCCAAACGCCATCTCAAGTCCCATTTAGATGACCCTGTGGCCAGGCCCTGCAGCGCCTCTGGAGGGTGAAAACCTGTTAAGGGTAGGGGTAGCAAGTCAGCTGTTTTGAGGGAGGGTACGGTTTAGTGAGGGAAGGCAAGACGGGCTGCAAGGGCAGGGCAGTGGTGGGCTCTGTGTTGGGGGATGTGGCTGGGCAGGCCAAGGCCTTGGGGACAGCGTGGTCTGCTCACACTGCACTGGCCAGCAGGCAGAGCCAGCGCCCCGGGGTAGCACTGGGACCGACCCACGCCCCACCACGCTGGTCCTCACCATGTAGCTGAGGCTTGCGGGGTGTGGCGGAGGGTAGGCAGATGGAACAGGCTGCTCTGATCACCGCCCACCCGGCCCGGCGCTGCCCACCCACGCTGAGTCAGAGCCATGGGCAGGGCGGCCTCGAGGCTGAGTCAGTTGGGGGAGGCCGCCCCCTTGCGGAGGCTGTGCCTTCTCAAGAGCCGATTCTGAACTGGCTACTCATTGACAGCGGTCCTGGTGGATGGGGGTCTGAGCCATGCTGTGGAGGGTCTCCCTGAGGCCGGTAGGGGCTCAGCCCAAGGTGGGTGGGCACGGGAGAGGAGAGCTGAGAAGATCTGCCTGCAGAGGAGAAGCCGGCTCCCTGCTGAAGCTGCCAGAACCCTGTGGCCACCCAGGAGGGGTCTGGGTATCTCCCTGGGGACAGGGTCTACACCTGGGGTGCTCTTCCCTCGCCCTCAGTGGCCACCCGCAGCCTCATCAGGGTTTCGGGACAGAAAGTTTCCAGCCTTCAAAACCAGAGAGCCTTCAATGTCCAGGGCCCCAGTTGACCCCCCAGCCCCCGCCAGCACCCAGTGTCAGGCCTGGGTTTTGGGATTGGGAATCCCGGGTACCATGTGTCGGCTGTGCCACAGCGCTGTGGTGCCACGCACTGCTCCAGACCTCAGGCACATAATGTGCCAGCTGGGGTTGTGGAGTGGCTGGCAGTGGGTGGGTAGGCATATGCTCTTCCTGGAGGGACTGCAGCAGAGCACCCTGGGGTTCAGGACTGTCACTGCCACTCACAGCCCTGTTGGCCCTGTGAGTCACACAGCAAGCCCGGCACCCATGGGCAGGCTGGGAGGCGCCTCCACCCAGGGCGGGCGCATGGTCCAGGGCCGGGGAGGCAGCGGCTGCCCTCCGCCTCTTCCCCACTCTCCCCCAGACTCCCTCCTCCAACTTCCTCTTGCGGCCCACGCAGAAAGGCCTGGGCTCAGCCGTTTGCTTGTACCATTTCTTTAAAGAGTTTTTAAACTGTGATGAAGTACACGTGGCTGATACATTGAACATGAACCATTTTTAAGTGCATGGTTGAGCGGCCTTAGCGCGTTCACATGATTGCGTGATCATCAATCACCACCCTCCATCTCCAGAACTTTCCATCTTCCCAAACGGAAGTTCTGTTCCCACAAAATGCCAGCTCCCGGCCCCCAGCCCCAGCCGCCTCCATCCCACTTTCTGTCCCTGTGGATTGACTAGTCTGTTTGTGGCTTTTTTTTTTTTTTTTTTTTTTTTTTTTGAGACGGAGTTCGCTCTTGTTGCTTAGACCTGGAGCACAGTGGTGCGATCTTGGCTCTTTACTGTACCCTCCGTCCTGGTGCGTTCAGACTTGGTAGCTGGATCTGGAGGCTCTATCAGGTTGAGACTCGGTTTTCCTTTTGGGTAAACTATTTTGGCCGGAGTGGTTTCTCTGTCATTTTGGCCAGAACCCTTCCTGAGAGGATTGTGTGCCCACCAGGAAGCACAGCGTGGCCGGGATGTGGCAGCTGCCAGGGTCAGAGCTGGGGCCTCCGTTGCAAGGGCTACAGAGGGGCCGACTGCCGGGGCGGGGTCAGGGCTGCCTGCTGGCTGCCCCTGATTGTAGGGTCTGGCTTGACTACCTGTCTTTCCTGTGCCCAGGACACCTGCCAAGGCTGAGGGGGTTTCCACAGCTTCCGTGTTTGTCCGTGTCACATTCTCCCCATCCCATGGGACATCTAGGTGGGTACTCGGGCAGCTCTGAGGTAGGAGGGCAGCAGTCAGGCCCACTCTGCATTCCTAGCTCTGTGCTGGCCCCTCACCAGGGCTCATCCTGTTCTGACAAGCATGGTCTGACCTTGCCGTCCCCTCGGATGGGGGTCTTGCTTTCTGGGCCTCCGGCTTCCACTCAGTGATCTCTTGTCTGATCCTCCCACAAACTTCCTTCTCACGTTCTCCCTTGGTGAGCACTCCTCCGGAAAACAGTTGGCCAGATGTCTCACCGCCCCGCTCCCCCTCGCTCAGAGCTGGAGCCAGTGAGAGAGGAGGTGAGGTGCCCCGGGTCCCCTCTGCCGCAGAGGGCTTCCCTGGGGTCCTCAGCCAGTGTCCTGGACTCCAGCTCTCCTGCTTTTCCTGCCTCTCCTGCTGGTGGAGATGGAGGTGCCCTGGAGGCACAGGCATATAGGTGAGGGTGCTCCAGGCGACGGGGTGGGGGGGGACCAAGAAGCCGTGGAGCTGGGGTGCATCCACATCCAGGTTTCTGTGCCTTGGCCACAGGTGGTACACATGACCCCGCCGCCCAACAGGTGGGCCCCCCTGCCAGGGCCTCCCGCTGGAGGCAGGACCCCCAGCTCACCAAGAGTGGTCTGGGGTGGCTGAGGCCTCCTAGGGGGCACGGTCATCAGGCTGAAGCCTCCTGGGTCGTCTCTTGAGTGGCTGCAGACGCTGTTCCGTTTCCTGTCTCTGCTCTGCATAGTGGGGCGTGTCTTTGAGCCCGCGGGGCTGCCCCGAACTGGGCTTGACAGGCGTCCCCCCACTGCTGGCTGAGCCTCTGTCCTCTTCCCTCTGCAGTACATCGACGCCATCAGCAACAAGCAGGGCGAGCTGGAGAACTACGTGTCCGACGGCTACAAGACCGCGCTGACGGAGGAGCGCAGGCGCTTCTGCTTCCTGGTGGAGAAGCAGTGCGCCGTGGCCAAGAACTCCGCGGCCTACCACTCCAAGGTGAGGCAGCTCGGGGCTGCGCCGTGGCACTGGGCCTCACTGGCAGAAATGACCGAGGCCCCTGCCCCGGCCCCGGGAACACACCAGGGCAGTGTCTGGGCTTGAACTCTGGTTTATTTCGGATTTTCTTGGGGATGGAGTTCTAGGAGAGTTACCAGGTCACAGGGTGCAGGCATTTTGAAGACTCGCATTAGAATTGCCGTCTGCAACCAGGGAGGGTCTGATGGGCTTTCAAGGCCTTCTAGAACGTTCGTCTAGAAGAACGTTCTTGGCTTTTCTGTCATAGCCATGTCCTGGCCAGGCAGAGTCCGGTGCCATGCTAGGGATGGTCTTGTTCCTGCTGGGTGTAGGAGTCCCAGTGGGGCACCTGGTGAGTGGCCTCTGTGTCTTTACCTGCTCCTCCTGTGTCCCCTCAATCCACATTCCTGGGGTACAGCTTCTGGGCTCATCGCTCTGCTCACCTGAGGTGCTGAGGAATCCCAGCCCTAAGCCTGGGTCGCCAGCCACCCAAGACCACCATGCCACTGGCCCCAGGTCCAGCAGCTGCCACAGCTCGGCTGTCCTATGTGGACATACCACTCGTCACCCAGCCCAAACCTGCCCTACCTCTTTGCTTCCTGGGCAGCCAGGGGCCCTGCCTGGCTCTCAGGCAGCCCCTAGCCCCTCCCACGCTGGTTCAGAGGGACCTCTCTGGGACACACACCTGGTCACAGCGTCCTCTCCTGGCTCCCAGACTCTCTGACCTGTGCCTCCATCACCTCTGCCTGCACCCCTGAGCCACTGGGGTCCCAAGTGGGGCCTTGGGTGACCACATGCTGCTCCCTCGTGGCCTCCGAGACACCCCTCCGTCCCTGTCTGCTAAGGGCCCCTCCTTGTGCCCGTAGACTCTCTTGCCTACCCCTGGCACAGTCCTGTGGCCCTGTGTTTCCTGCTAGGCATCCCCAGCCTGGTCATTCCCACCCTGGGATCCGCCATGTCCCAGGACCAAGCCCAGCCCTGCTGAACCAGGAGCAAGTTCCTCAGGAAGAGGCTGCAGCAGCCCCCTTGACGGATGTCCTGAGCCCCAGTGCAAGCAAGGCTGACTTAGCCCCCAGAGCAGGCAAGGCCCAGAGGCCAGATTCCCCACCAGGAACAGGCAGGGCCAGCAGGTCCCTGTTTATCCCTAGTCCATGGGTAGGAGCTGGGGTGGGATCAGATGTGTCCCCTGGAACATTCCGGAACATCCTAAGAGCTTAGAAGGTGTAGTTCAGTAGCCAAGCCCACCAGAGAGGCCCTGGTCATATCTTTCTAAAATAAGGGGTCCCAGGGATTCATGGGCTACACCTTGACCCTTGTTCTCCCCCCAATTATCACGTGCTACGGAATCAGTGCTCCGGTCCCCACGGCCTGGAGACACCCAGGAGACAGCTGCTCCTCCCTCCCTGGAGAGGCCCCTCCTGCCGGCCTGGGCCTGCTGGGCGCTGTGGGCAGGTGCAGGGGAGGACAGCGGCAGCACCCGTGTTCCCTGGAGGCAACCTCGCAGGCTTTCCGCCCCGGCTGCTAGGCAGGGGGCGCTGTGGAGCGCAAGCCTTCCACCTGCTAGACCCAGGACAGCGGCGGGCATCTGCGCCATCTGGCGGGGCCTGGGCCCGGGAGTGATACCAGGCTGTCAGTGGCCGGGGTGCTGCCGGCAGGGACGGAGGGCAGGAAGGCCGGGCTGCTGGCCGCAGGCGCCGCTGTCTCCCTGGAGGGGAATGCAGATCGTGCCCGTGCAGGGGCAGCAACTGAGCTCCTGGGCATGTGTGGAAGAGACCTGGGTCCCAGAGACCCACTTGGACAAGCCTCTGGGCAGGGGTCAGAGTATGAGGGTGGCCTCCTCCCAGGGCAGTTCCTGGTAGCTCCCTGGTGCTTGGGTTCGGGCCTGCCTCTAGGCAGTCACAGGGTCTCAGGCTGGAGGGGGTGACACTGACTCGTGGCCACTGTATTGGCGCCCTGCTGCTGTGAGGTTGGTGTCCCCCGGCCATCTGCCCTGGTGCTGGTCCCTGCTGGCCTCTCCACACCCCCCAAGATTCACTACTCTACCACCGATCTAAGCCAGGGCTCGGTAGATGTTCTGAATGGCCAGAGTTCATGCTTTTGACTCTGTGGGTCACACGGTCTCCAGCTCTGTGACTGCAATGTGAGGACAGCCATGAATGAATGATTCACAAATAGACGCATAGCTGTATTCCAATAAAACTTGGTTTACAAAACAGGAGGCAAGTCCTCAGGCCGTGGTTTGTGGACCCCTGGTCTAAAAGGGCTGTTGTCGGAGCCTTCTCTGGTTCCCCACGTGGGTGCCCAGCCACTGTAGAAGGGAGCAAGGATGAGTGAGGGGAGCAGTGAAAGTTGGAGAGGCACCCAGAGGTGCCAGAGACATAGCAGTTCTGGCCCTGGGCTTTGGGGTCTGAGGTCCTGGGGATTCAGGCCCTGCAGTCTATTTAGGCCAAACGGCAAGGAGCAGCAGGGGCTGTTGGGTTCGCACCCAGGACTCAGGTGTGGCTGCTCCCCAGTTCCAGAACCTTTCGCCACTCCTGTGGCTTCCTTATTCTTCATCCCCACTGTGCCCAGCCAGTCTGCTGTGTCCCGCAGTCCGCAGACTGTGGCTGAGGCAGAGTGGGCTCCGGGACACACAGGCGGTGGATGGAGCAGTGAGCCTCAGTGCATCTGATGGGGCCGACTTCCTGCCCTCAGCAGCCTGGCGTGACCCTCACTGGGCAGCAAGCTCCCGGCCACCTGGGACGCCTTCCTAGCACATTGGGGTTTGCCCACCAGGGTTTGACCTTGTGTGCCCCTGTCCATTTCTCCTTCCTCCAGTCCCTGCTGGGCCCCACGGGGGTTGGACCTGGGTTTGATCTCATCCCTGGAGGTCCCCCAACTGTACGGCTTCTGGTCACCCCTTGGGCCCTTTTCCAGCAGCGGCTTCCATGCGTTGGGGTCGGGCTCACGGGTGGCCTATCCCACTGAGAGGCATCACCTGGTGAAGAGCAGCCCCCAGCCCCAGAGGGTGCCTGGCCCTGAGCCGTCCTGACCCCTCCCTTCCGGCTTTCTACACTTCAGGGCAAGGAGCTGCTGGCACAGAAGCTGCCGCTGTGGCAACAGGCCTGTGCCGACCCCAGCAAGATCCCGGAGCGCGCCGTGCAGCTGATGCAGCAGGTGGCAAGCAACGGCGCTGCTCTCCCCAGCGCCCTGTCGGCCTCTAAGTCCAACCTGGTCATCTCCGACCCCATTCCGGGGGCCAAGCCCCTGCCGGTACCCCCCGAGCTGGCACCATTTGTGGGGGTGAGTCTGTGGCCTCCAGAAAGCGTCACGGGTGTGGGAGGGAGGGCAGCTCGTTCTTGGGGGTAGGGGAGCGGCCAGGGTACAGAGGCCAAGGGCACCTGCTTGAGGGGGTGGAGGGTGCTCTTCCCCCCGCCTTGCCCGGGGGGGGCTCCAGTAACAGCCTGCCCCACTCCTTCCCTGCAGCGGATGTCTGCCCAGGAGAACACACCCATCATGAATGGCGTGGCGGGCCCGGATGGCGAGGACTATAGCCCCTGGGCTGACCGAAAGGCTGCCCAGCCCAAATCCCTGTCTCCTCCGCAGTCTCAGAGCAAGCTGAGCGACTCCTACTCCAACACGCTCCCTGTGCGCAAGAGCGTGACCCCCAAAAACAGCTATGCCACCAGTAAGGGCTCTGCTGGGGAGTTGGGCTGGGATCCTTGGGCGCACCTCCCCAGGCCCTGTAGTCATGCCACACCCTGGAGTTTGGGGCCTGGGAGACCCTGAGGCTCACAAGTGTGACTGTGTGTGTGCGTGCCTACATGTGTGTGGTACATGTGTGCTTGCGTAGCGCTCAGCTCCCTGCTGTCAAGCCTCTGGTGCTCGGCGGGGGCATGAGTGGGGTACAGGGTTATCAGGCTCCTGCAGGCAGCAGCCATTAGGGAGCAGGTGGCTGCTGTTCCGGAGAGCTTAGCCGTCCCAGGAACGCCTCACGCACTCATTGGTGCACACCTCCACCAGGCTCCCTGGGCTCTGCTGCCAGCAAGGGGGGGGGGGCGGGGCAGAGTCCCCTTACATGTCCCTTGTCCCAGCAGCCGAGAACAAGACTCTGCCTCGTTCGAGCTCCATGGCAGCCGGCCTGGAGCGCAATGGCCGCATGCGGGTAAAGGCCATCTTCTCCCACGCCGCTGGGGACAACAGCACCCTGCTGAGCTTCAAGGAGGGTGACCTCATTACCCTGCTGGTGCCTGAGGCCCGGGACGGCTGGCACTACGGAGAGAGTGAGAAGACCAAGATGTGAGTGTTTGCTGGGGCTGGGTCCAGGGGCAGATGGATGCCTGCAAGCATGCGGGGTGGCGGCTCAGATGCATTGGGGGGTTCCAGGGGCAGATGCCTGCAGCAAGCGTGCGGGGTGGTGCTCAGATGTGTTAGGGGGCAGGTTCCAGGGGCCGCTGCCTGCAGCAAGCGTGTGGGGTGGCAGTGCTCAAATGCACGGGGACCTCCCTGTATTCAGACTGACTGTGCAGGTCACAGGTTCTCGCCTTAGAAAACGTGGGCAGAGAGCAAACATGACCTCGGGTATTCCCACCAGCAGGCATCCTCCCCCTGGCAGGGTTCTTTACCCTCCCACCTCCCGGCAGGATCTTCCCCAACAGGAGGGGTCTCCCCCCACACCAGAGGTCTCCCACTGCAGAGTCTGGTGACCTTGCACCATCGCCTCCCTCTGCCACTCAGTTGGGCGCAGGGTGTGGCGTACTACATGTGTACACGCTCAGCATGTCTGGCCAAAGCCCTGTGGGTAGGGCATGAGTTTCCTGCAGTTCACAGATGCAGAGCAGGGCTTGGCCATCCTGAGACCGAAGCCTTTTTTCGGTCTTCAACTCTCACACACCTGATGGGCTCTATAGTTTGGAGTTCTAGAAGTCACCTCATGGTGAATGTTGTTGCAGAGAGGCTGGGCCAGGCTGCCACCCTCGCTGGACTTGGGGGCTGCCTGGGTCGGGCTCCCTTCTCAGGGCTGTGTTTAGGTGTATCTTTTGGTAAGACGGGAAAAGGGCCTGACATTTGTGCCTTCCTGTGCCCCCTGGGGGGTACTAAGGGCAGGGGGTCTCCCAGGAGGCTTGGGGAGGAGGCTGAGGGCGAGGTGTCTCCCAGGAGGCCTGATGAGGGGCCTGAGGACGGGGGTTTCCCAGGAGACTGCTCCACCCCTTCCAGTGGCCATTCCGGCCTTGTTCCCGTCCGTGGCTCAGTGTGGTGTTGGGGCTGGGAAGCAGGAGCGATGGCTCTGCCTGGGCCCTGGGGCGTTGCAGTTGGGTCAGGTGGGGCCGGCAGCTCCCATTAGGGTGGGGACAGCCCAGGCTGCCTTCCCCTTGAGGCTGAGCACACAGCGGAAGTGGGCTGGAGTCTTGGTTTCTCCGGAGCGCTGGCATCTGTTCCTTCAGAGACAGCGGTGCAGCCATGCTGGGGAGTTAGAGGGACCTGGGCTTGACGGTGGTTGACGGGGGAACGATGGTTGTGGGGGATGGGGCGCCATTGCCCCACCTGGGGGTCTCCGCGCTGAGCATGGCTCTTACCTGGGGCCTCTCTTCCAGGCGGGGCTGGTTTCCCTTCTCTTACACCCGGGTCCTGGACAGCGACGGCAGCGACAGGCTGCACATGAGGTGAGCGCTGGGCCTGATGGGAGGGCAAGGTCCCTAGCTCTGGAGAGGGGATGACCAGGCCCCTAGGCTCAGAGAGCTGGGCTGGGCTTCCGGCTCCTTGTGGGTGGAAGCACAGAGGTGCCCTGCGCGGCGGGGCCTGAGCCCTGGGGACACCAGTGCAGGTGGCAGGTGCTGTGAGGGCTGCTCCTGGGCACCAGGTGTGCGGGGCCTGGCTGTCCCAGGTCCTCCGGGTTCTCCTAGCCTTCAGAGAATCACAGCTGAAAGCTGGTAGTGGCGGGGCTGCTGGGAGGGGCGGGGATTGCCGTGGCAACGCAGCCCCTCTAGAATCCTCCTGGCTCAGCTTCATGACCAGGAGGTGGGAGGGAGGCCGGACTGGCCCGGCCCATTGTCCCCAGGGCTTCGGCCTTGGCCTGAGAGCAGCCTGCCCGCATGTGGTGTGCGATAGGTGAGGGTGGGCTGTCCAGGAACAGGGTGCGGGTTGTGGGGGGCCCGGACTGCTGGACCGCCTCTGAGTCTCTGTCCCTGCAGCTTGCAGCAAGGGAAGAGCAGCAGCACAGGCAACCTCCTGGACAAGGACGACTTGGCCATCCCGCCCCCCGACTACGGCGCCACCTCCCGCGCCTTCCCTGCCCAGACGGCCAGTGGCTTCAAGCAGAGGCCCTACAGCGTGGCCGTGCCGGCCTTCTCCCAGGTCAGCAAGCGGGAGGGCCCGCAGGTGGAACGGTGGGCAGCCTGTAGTCCTGTACTGGAGCCTCCGCTGACAGGCCAGGCGCCTGGGGCTCTGGGTTTCTTTGGGTAGCTCTGGGGCGAAGACTCTGTGATTTGGGACATTTGTGTACACCCCTGCTTGGACCACAGGCTGCCCGCCTTGCCCCAGCAGGCTCCCTGTGTGGGCGCGCTCGGGCTGGGGGTGGCCCATCATCACTCATCATCACTCATCACTCAGGTGCCCTCAGCCAGCCACAGACAGCTCACTGCTGTGCCCACCGGGGCAGCATCTGGGCTGGGAAGTGGCTGGCCTAGGGATGGGCCTGGACGCTGCCACCTCTTGGGAGACCCGGGGGGGGTCAGGGAAGGCCTGGCTTCCAGGATCCCTTCCGGAGAGCCTCGGGGCTCCCTCAGTCACAGCCATGGATGGAGCATGTGCTGCTCAGCCCTGGCACATGGCGGGGCCCTTCCAGTCAGTGTGACCCTGGATTTGGGCCATCTGGTGCCAGCAGCCAGAGGTTCAGGGTCAGGGCCTGAGTCCTTGGCCCTGGCATAGGCCCCGGGAAGCTGCGGATCATGGCGGTCGTGAAATTTAAGGCTGGGGCAGGGTCCGGGGGTGCTTCGCGGCTTGCTGGGTCCAGCCCACCCCATCCAGAGAGGCTCCTGGGGTTGGAGGGGTGGAGACCCCTACTGGCCTAGGGCTCCTCAGCCAGAGGTTCAGTGTGTGGGATGTTGGCTGGGGTAGCAGCTTTGCTCCCGGAGCCAGGCTACAGGGCTGGGCCTCAGGCAGTGAGTAGAGAGAACACCCAGCTTTCCAAGATATGGGCAGCCTGGGTGACCGCTCAGCCATTGACCCACAAATGAGGGGCCCCTAGGTTGACAGCCTGAGCTGAGGCTGCAGGAGGCGAGCTGGAGAGGGTCGGGCTCTGGGCGGTGGATGCCACAAGCTGGTCTCTGTGCTAGGAGAGCCACGGCGGGGTCTGCACCTGCCTTAGGCCCTGGGCAAGCCCATGTTGGCAGCTAAAGGTCATAGCCAGCCCCAGCCCCACGCCTGGGCTCTTCTCCTGGGCAGTGTCACCCTCGCCGGGTCTGGGATGGTACACATGACAAGTTTCCAGGAGACTGCAGCTGGGATCCGGGCCTGGGTCCCCCCACCCATGGGCCCGCCCAGGCATGGGTGAGGTGCTGCAGGTGCCCTGAGGGGCCTCAGCTCCCTGGGGGCAGGCAGAGGGTCCCGGGCGGCCGGTCCTGCGTGTGCTTTGGAGTGTGCCACATGCACACAGTCTGACTTGGCCGCTGGCTGGAGGAGGCATCCCCATTAATTTGGGCAGTCATCACTTCACCACAGGGACCAGGGCTCCAGGCAGGCCCCTGAGTGCTGGGCCAGGAGATGGGGAGCCTTCCAAGGGAACAGGATTTGAACCCTGCCCAGGCGGGATCACTGCGGGTGTGTACAGGCACCGGAGGGGGGTGACCTCAGCCCCGTCACCTGGCCTGACCTGTTTCCACCTTTGCCCCCAGGGTCTGGAAGACTATGGATCGAGGTCCATGAGCAGGTAAGGGGCCTTTCAGACCTGTCTGTGGGACCATGGTGGGTCTGCAAGAGGCTGGGTCAGGGCAGGTCCCTCTCTTAGGACCTGGGGTCAACTCTTGTTCCTTTAGGGCCCAGCCTGGCCCTTCACCCCTGCTAGAGCCGGGGACGCCCCCCAGGGCCTCCTGCTCTCTCCCAGTGGCACAGGACGCCCCCTGGGCCCTGCCCCTCTTTCCTGGCATCAGGCCAGCCCCATCCATCCGTGTCAGGCAAGGACAGGGTTGGGGAAGGTGGCTAAGGGTGCCATTGATGGCTGGGGCTGCAGCCTGTGCTCCACCCTTGTCCTGGGCCTTCCCTGAGGGAGCTACTGGAAGGGGCATTGCTGGGTGCGGGCGGATGCGCCACCGGTGGCTGGCAGCAGTGTGCAGCTGGGCAGCCGTCCTGTGCTTTGTTCGCAGTGGCAGCGGCACGCTGGTGTCCACAGTGTGAGGACGCTGACCCCGGGCAGCCGCTGCTCTGAAGAGCTTCCGCGCCGTCCCCCCGGTCTCCGTCCGTTTTCCTCCTCAGCTCTCGCTGGTTTGTTCTTGGGTTTTCTTTCCCACCTGCCCCCTGCCTTTTGGTTGGTGACCCCAGACTCTGTGATCCCACAGGGTCCATGGTGCTGCTCTACCCGCCCCGTGTTCGCGCGCCCCTCCCCGTGTGTCCCAGCCTTTCGAGCAGAAACTGCCAGGCAGGACCCACCCTGCAGTGTCTGTGGCACTCTGCTTTTCTCAGACTCGCCGTGAGCCAGGTCTAAAGTTTGAAGAAAAAGAAAAATATTTAAAAAAAAAAAAAAAAAAATGAAAAACGGGAAAAAGGACTTTTTTTCCTGAAAAACAAAACCCGATCTGCATGGACTCTGGTGTGCGCACCGCTATCTCGCATCTGACTCCCTGGCGCGCTGGCCTCTGTCCGGACGGGGAAGGCGCTGGCGTCCCTGGCCGCCCTGGCCCCCGTCAAGGGCTGCACAGGGAAAGGGGGCTTGTGCCAAGCTCAGGGGGCCTCCTGAGGAAACCGGCCGCTCCTGTGAGGGAGGCCGGGCCCAGGCACCCGAGGGCTTCTCCCTCTGGACGCCAAGGGCCAGGTGTACATAGAGCAGAGAGGCAGGGTGGCGTTGCCTCCTGTTGGGCACCAGCAGGAGGGAGGTCCGGGACAGGCGCTGCCCGGCCGCACATGGACATTCCAAAGACCTCCAGAGACCACCCCACCCCCACATTCCTTTGACCAGCCTTGTGAGGGCATTGAAGCTGCCCCGGGCTACCTGGCTGCCCGGGGCAGGGTCTGCGGGCTGGGCCTGGCCAGGGGAGGGCAGCTCTGGGCACGCCACACCCAGGCCTCCCACCTGGGAGAAGCAGGCAGTCCCTGCCTGGTTCTTCCTAAACGCTCTCGTCTTTTTGTGTGTCTTGGTGACTTTGGAAACAAACACAGTGGACTCAGTGGCTTCCGGTATTGTCTCTTCACACACTGAACTCTGGGGAGTGGGCACAGGCCCCGCCTGCCTGCCGCTGGGGGCCCCGGGAAGCCGAGACGCTCCTTGATCTGATGTGGTTTAGCAAAAGCCTCCCGCACACCTCCCCGTGGACTGGGACGTGGCTGGTAGTGTTTGTGTGGGAGCAGCTCAAGCCGCGGACTGCGCGACGTTAAGGAAAACGTGGCCGGACCGGGCCCCGTGTAGAGACCCTTCCGCGCTGGCGCTCCTGCTGCGCTAAAGATTCCAAATCCAGGGGACTCCATGCTCAATGGATGAATGTAGACACAAAAACAGCAACACTTGTATGAAGACGTAAAGTGCTCCACATATTTTTTCCTGTTTCCTTTCCTTTTTTTAAAATCGGAATTGTGCCCTGTACTGCAGTTACTTGTTGGAATAAAAGTTTTATTTATTGCACGAGTTGGGTATGGACCTCTTTCCGGTACCCGGCGTGCAGCTGGGCCACGGGGGCCCCGCCTCGTGCCCGTTTCTGCCGGGTACTTTCTCGACACTCTGTCGCCTGCTGGAGTAACCTGGGCTTGCAAACAGTGCCAGCCTGGCGACAGTCGCGCACCCTGACGGGGTTCCGGGGGCCCGTCGTCCCCGGGGAGAGTGTGGGCTGCCTCACGGCTGAGGCGGGCTCCGCAGGCGCCGTCCGTCTGCAAGGGCCGGTGCCCCAGCCGTGTGCCCGCTCCGCGTGCTCCGGGGTCCGGGATCTCCTCCAGGCAGCTCGCCCGTGGCCCCTCCTCTGCGCCGAGTCCCAGACCCCGTGCCGCCTCCAACTGAGCCTTGTGTTTCCTTACAGCGCTGATGTGGAAGTGGCCAGACTCTGAGCCGCCTGACTAGAGTTAGTAAGTTGCCTGACGCGCTTGTGCGGTCAGTGGCCTCTCCAGCGGCTCTACACGGGCCCTCTGGCCTCAGCCACGCAGCCTGGGTGGGGAAGGCCCAGCTGCCTGGTGGGGCTGGGGGTCCGCCGAGCCTGCCTCTTGCTCTGGGTGTCGGGCCTTCTCTCCCGGGTTCCCTCCTTGGGTTCATGGTCTCCTTCCCCCTATCTTGGAAGCTTGTGGGCTCTGGCTGGCTGCGCCTGGGGCTCCCCCCACTGTTGGGTGTGGCTCTGGCCCTGACCCTCTGTCTGGTCCTCTCCCGCCCTGCCGGCCCTTCAGTTACAGTCAAAGGGTGACTGTGGCAAGCAGCTGCCACCGGGCCTCTCCCACCTGACCCGCAGCGCCGGCTTGGGCTCCTCTGGGTGTGCCTTTGGGACTGTGGTTGGGGTCCTGGGGACAGCCTGGGGGAGCTCCATGGCCACTGGGGCATGCTGCTTCTGTCCCCCAAGCCCCACAGCGTGGTCCCAAGACACTGGCTGCATCTTGTCTGGCTCTGCAGACCTGGAGGCTGCTGGGTCCAGGTTGGAGCTGATGCTCACTCCGGGGCGCTGGGCCTCTCTGGCTCCAGTTCCGGTGGGACTCTGAAGTCGGGGTCTGAGCCTGTTTCCTCCAGGGTTGAGGGGGCCACTTCCCTGGTTTCCAGTGTATACTTGGGATGTGCCAGGCTGTGCAGGAGCAGGCCCTCTGCCCTCATGCCCATACCTTCCAATCCCCAGCACCTGCGTCTGGGCAGGTCCTGCTTCCCACCACCCTCCTGTCCCCAGGGTGCTGGAAGAGTGGCTCCGCAGAGCCAGTGCCCACGTCCTTCACAAAGGACGGCAGTCCCCAAGTGTCCCTGGTGGTCACAGCAGGCATCCCGGCCCATGGCAGCCAGGCCACAGGCAGATCAAAGACCCCGTCCTGTGTAGCTGCCTTTCTGTGGTTGAGATTCAGGACGAGTTCTGTAGGTTTGTAGAAAACTGCCGCTGAAGCACGGGGACTGGATGGGGGTGCCCTGGGCTGGCCCGGGCTGCCACCTCGCCTTCCTCCTCCATCTTCCTCCCTTCCAAGACCCCCTACTTCCCCAGGTCCCTCTGAGCTGAGGGGGCTGTGCTGCCCTTGCCTGGTGAGGCTTGGGAGGGGTGAAGGCTTGGAGGTGAGGCTGCAACAGCCTCTGTCAGGGACCACATCCCTTGGTGGAGGGCAGAGACCCAGGTGGCAGTGCCAGTAGGGCGGTGGTGCTCATCTCAGCCCAGCACTGCACCCCAGCGCCAGGGGTCAGTCTCCTGGCCACACCATCAGCCTGGTCTGACAACTCAGCTGGGATTGGAGGTGTCGAAAGCCACTTGCAGTTGGTCAAGGGACTCCCCAGCTGTCGCCACCCTGCAGTGCCCCAGCTTTGGGCCCTGGGAAGGGGGCCTTGGAATGAGAGTGGAGGGCTGAGTGCCCCTGGCCATTGTCCACATTCCTTGTCAGTGAGGCCCAAGCACTCACGCTAGACTGGATTCCAGAAGGGCTGACCTTCTGAAGACATGGAGGAACAGTTTTAAGTGGAGGCAGATCAGCCCCTGTCCGCCCACTTCTGGTCTGGCGTCGCCTCACTGGTTGCAACACACTTTGTGATGGCTCCGTTTCTCCTCGGCATCTTTCTGTTTCATGTTCAAGTCGTCGGTTCAGGAAGTGATCCTAGGTAGCTGCCCACATTCCGAAGCGCACCTAGGTTCTGCTTGGCTGCAGTGGGAAGCTGCTCTCCCTTAGGGAGCTGGACTCTGGGGATGGGAGCCCTGAGACATGCCAGGAGCCACCCATGGGCTGGCGGGCGTTCCCAGCCCCTCAAACTCCAGCTGTGAGAGACCTCCTGACCAGCTCCTTCCTGGCAGAGGTGCCCACGCCCAGGCCTCCTGGCCCCAGCTGGTTCTGTGGCGCTGGCATCCATGCCTTGTGTAAAAGCTGCCAGTTGGCTGGGCACAGTGGCCCATGCCTGTAATACCAGCACTTTGGGGCAGGCGAGAGGATCTCTTAAGCCTAGGAGTTTGAGATCAGCCTGGGCAACATAAGGAGACCCCCGTCTCAACAAAAAAATTTTTAATTAGCCAAGCATAGTGGCATGCCCCTGCAGTCCCAGCTTCTTGGGAGGCTGAGGTGGGAGGATTGCTTGAGCCTAGAGGTAGAGGTTGCAGTAAGCTGTGACTGTGCCACTGTACTCCAGCCTGGAGGACAGAAAAGACTGTCTCAAAATAATACAATTTAAAAATTACAAAAGCTACTGCTCACCCCTGCGGCCTTGCTTAGGAGGCTCTGATGGGTGCCTCTCAGTGAGGAGAAAGAGCCCAGAGCCTCTGTATCCTGAGGCCAGCGCCCTGCCCACCCCGCAGCTCCCCGAACGCAACGCAGGCCTCCTCAGGGCCATCTGTTCTTGGATGTGTCCAGTGACTTTCCTTTGCCGGCTCAAGAGGTGCTGGTGGTGTCACTGGGTAGTTGGTGAGAGGTGCTGGTGGTGTCACTGGGTACTCGGTGAGAGGTGCAGGTGGTGTCACTGGGTAGTTGGTGAGAGGTGCTGGTGGTGTCACTGGGTACTCGGTGAGAGGTGCTGGTGCTGTCACTGGGTACTTGGTGAGAGGTGCTGGTGCTGTCACTGGGTACTTGAGGTGCTGGTGCTCACTGGGTACTTGGTGAGAGGTGCTGGTGCTGTCACTGGGTACTTGGTGAGAGGTGCTGGTGCTGTCACTGGGTACTTGGTGAGAGGTACAGGTGGTGTCACTGGGTAGTTGGTGAGAGGTGCTGGTGCTGTCACTGGGTACTTGGTGAGAGGTGCTGGTGGTGTCAGTGGGTACTCAGTGAGAGGTGCTGGTGCTGTCACTGGGTACTTGGTGAGAGGTGCAGGTGGTGTCACTGGGTAGTTGGTGAGAGGTGCTGGTGCTGTCACTGGGTACTTGGTGAGAGGTGCTGGTGGTGTCACTGGGTACTCGGTGAGAGGTGCTGGTGCTGTCATTGGGTACTTGGTGAGAGGTGCAGGTGGTGTCACTGGGTAGTTGGTGAGAGGTGCTGGTGGTGTCACTGGGTAGTTGGTGAGAGGTGCTGGTGCTGTCACTGGGTACTTGGTGAGAGGTGCTGGTGCTGTCACTGGGTACTTGAGGTGCTGGTGCTCACTGGGTACTTGGTGAGAGGTGCTGGTGCTGTCACTGGGTACTTGGTGAGAGGTGCTGGTGCTGTCACTGGGTACTTGGTGAGAGGTACAGGTGGTGTCACTGGGTAGTTGGTGAGAGGTGCAGGTGGTGTCACTGGGTAGTTGGTGAGAGGTGCTGGTGCTGTCACTGGGTACTTGGTGAGAGGTGCTGGTGCTGTCACTGGGTACTTGGTGAGAGGTGCTGGTGCTGTCACTGGGTACTTGGTGAGAGGTGCTGGTGGTGTCAGTGGGTACTTGGTGAGAGGTGCAGGTGCTGTCACTGGGTAGTTGGTGAGAGGTGCTGGTGGTGTCACTGGGTACTTGGTGAGAGGTGCAGGTGCTGTCACTGGGTAGTTGGTGAGAGGTGCTGGTGGTGTCACTGGGTACTTGGTGAGAGGTACTGGTGGTGTCACTGGGTACTTGGTGAGAGGTGCAGGTGCTATCACTGGGTAGTTGGTGAGAGGTGCTGGTGGTGTCACTGGGTACTTGGTGAGAGGTGCAGGTGCTGTCACTGGGTACTTGGTGAAAGGTGCTGGTGGTGTCACTGGGTAGTTAGTGAGAGGTGCTGGTGCTGTCACTGGGTAGTTGGTGAGGTGCTGGTGCTGTCACTGAGTACTTGGTGAGAGGTACTGGTGCTGTCATTGGGTAGTTGGTGAGAGGTGCTGGTGCTGTCACTGGGTAGTTGGTGAGAGGTGCTGTCACTGAGTAGTTGGTGAGGTGCTGGTGCTGTCACTGGGTAGTTGGTGAGAGGTGCTGGTGCTGTCACTGGGTAGTTGGTGAGAGGTGCTGGTGCTGTCACTGGGTACTTAGTGAGAGGTGCTGGAGGTATCACTGGGTAGTTGGTGAGAGGTGCTTGTGCTGTCACTGGGTAGTTGGTGAGAGGTGCTGGTGCTATCACTGGGTACTTAGAGGTGCTGGTGGTGTCAGTGGGTACTTGGTGAGAGGTGCTGATGCTGTCACTGGGTACTTGGTGAGAGGTGCTGGTGCTGTCATTGGGTACTTAGTGAGAGGTGCTGGTGCTATCACTGAGTAGTTCGAGGCACTCACTGCCCAGGGCCACGTCCTACAGGAGGTAGGGCCTCTCACGTGTCCTCCGGCAGGGACCAATGTCTGTGGCTTCCGCACAGTGACCTTGCAGTGGCCTTGGGCTCTGAACTTTGTCACATCCTGTTGGCTCAGGCTCCCACCCGCAGCACAGCCGAGCTCCCCGCAAGCCTCTTGGGTGTCTTTCCCAGACAGCTGGGGGTGGCGGCCTGGGCTGGGGAGGCAGGGACGCCCAGCCCCTCCATGTGGGCCTGCTGTCCCAGCCAGCCTTGGCAGGCTCTGGCCTGCGCTCTCCCCTTTCCGCTGCCCCTGCTGCCCCTGTCAGGCTGAGACTGGACACAGTATTTGCAGCCCCAGCCCCGGGGTCCTCAGCCAGCAGTGTGGACGGTTCAGCACGCTCCGCCTGGTCCCAGCGTTCTGGGAGACGAGACGAGACAAGTGCAGGTCAGAGAACAGCCCGCAGCATCCTAACCCTGCAGCTCTCCGAGGTCTCGCCTGCCCACGTGTTTGCTGCCGACTTTCTGGTGAGAACGGGTGTGAGTCAGGGCAGGAGTGAGAACCACTTGGCCGCACTGCCCTTGGCACTGGTCTGTGCGAGCTGCATTTCCCCATTTTTTTTTATTTTTTGAGACAGGGTCTCACTCTGTCACCCAGGCTGGAGTGCAGTGGTGGGAACACAGCTCACTACAGCCCTAACCTCCTGGGTTCAAGCGACCCTCCCACTTCAGCCTTACGGAGGTGGGACCGCAGGCATGCACCACTGTCCCACGCCTGGCTAATGTTTTATTTCTTAGTTTTGAAGAGACTGGTCTACTTTGTGCCCAGGCTGGTCTTGAACTCCAGGGCTCAAAGTGGTTCCTCCTGCTTTGGCCTCCCAAAGTACTGGGATTTCAGGCAGGAGCCACCATGCCCAGCCAGAGCTCCCTCTGGACCCCGGGCCTGGGTGGAGACTCGGGCCACAGAGCACTTCCCTAGGAGTGAGTCTAACCTGGCAGGGAGGCAGGGCATGGACAGACGTCACTAATGGAGGTGGAGTCCTCACCATCGGGCCCCAGGCAGCCCCTACCCAGGCCCCCTGAAGGCAAGAAGCTGCACAGATCAAAGCCAAAGGAAGCCGGGAATCCAGCATACCCTGAGGCTCCGGCTCGTTGACAGTAAATCAAAAGATCCTTTCAGTGGGGTGCCAATGCTTAGATGCCATCTGGGAGTCTCAGAGCCTTCCGCAGACCCATCAGTCTCTTCCCGCATACTTTATTAAAAACTCACAGTCCGAAGTGTTTCAGGTTCTTAGAAAACACAGTCCTCAGGAAAGCTTAGGGCCCTGCCCCCGCCCTGTGCGTCTTCCTGGGCAGCTGGACAGAGCCCTGCCTGCCCGCCCCGGGGCTGCTCGTGGCTGCCTGGGCTCCTGTGGACGCAGCTGTGCCAGAGGTGATTCCGCTCCAGGTAATAGCTCAAGAGTCTGAACACGGCTTTGCCAGAGCACAGTCCTGTGCCTGCTGCGCCTTCATGTCCATGTGCCATCTGTGCTGTCGCCCTGGGAGCTGCCTGACACCCCCATCCTGCCTGTGCTGTCCCTGCCTGGGGGGTGGGGACTCCAAACAGAAAGGCCCAGGAGCCCCGTCATCCGTGCTCATCTTGTTCCATTTCAACTTCTTGTCTTGAGTCCTATCTGTGCATCCGCTGTGGCCCTGGGGATGTAGAGGAGCGGGCAGCACCCCTGGGGTACAGGTGACTGAGTGAGCGAGCCATCAGCAGGCCTGGGCTGGCCAGCTGCACTGCAGGGGCCACAGGTGTCCATCTGCAGTCCTGTGGGTGCTGCAAACCTGACCTTTCTTTCTCTGGATGCCCCCATGCCAGGGCTGGGCGCTCTGCCAAGCTGTGTTCCTGGGTGTGGGCCTGGCCTGGCAGGGGGCTACCAAACTGATGTGTGCCCGGTTTGGGGCTGTCTTGAGTCTCCAGCCTCAGTGGTGGTATCCACCCCTCACTGGGAGGGCACAGCTGCCCTGCCCACCCATGCTGTTGGGAGGGTGATGGATCGGGGTGGGGGCACTCTGCCTCGTCTAGGGCACATAGGGTAAGCAGAGGGTGGTGGAGCTCGGGGTGAGGCAGCCTTGCAGACAGCGCCTGGCTCTGCGTGTCCGCCAAAGCAGCTTCTGTTGTCTGTGAGCTCTGTGCCCTGAGACTGCACCACAGGGGTCCCGCATGGGGATCCGGGGGCACCACAGGGGTCCCGCGTGGGGATCCGGGGCATCGGGCAGCCCAGGTGCCACAATTCACACATGACTCCTTCCCGAAATTAAAACCACTTTTTTCTCTTCTCTCTCAGGAATCCCTTTGCCCACGTCCAGCTGAAGCCGACGGTGACCAACGACAGGTCTGCCCCCCTCCTCAGCTGACGGCCACGTCTGCAGCGCTGCCCACCCGGCAGCCTTCCCCCCACCCTCCCATGTAGCCTGTTCTGTCATCACTGTGCATCCTGTTTAGGGAGCACCCAGCCCCTGCTGCCTGGCCTGCCCTACTTGAGCCTAGTCTGGGCTGGGTCCCAGCTGTTCTGGGCAGGGCCAGGCAGAGTGGGGCACAGGCCCCTGAGAGGCCGGGACCCATTGGCTGCGCTGCCCAGGGCCGAGGGGCTGCCTCTTGAGGGTACACACCTCTGGTCACATGGCCCTGGAGCCCTGGGCTGCCCCTGGGTCTGGGGAGGCTGTTCGGCCAGCTGGTGGCTGGGGGCGGGGAGCCTGGCTGCCATGCTGCTTCCTCTGCTTAATAAACAGGCTGCCCCTCCTGGACCAGGTGTGATCTGTCCGCCCAAGGGCCAGGAGGCTGGGAGCACCGGGAGGGAGAGCCCGCACCCTGTGGCTGGAAGATGAACGTCCCATAAGCACGTCGTAACTCCCTGCAGGCCCGGAATGTGGGGCCTGGTCCTCCCCATGCCTCTCGGTGGGGCTCTCCTGGGTCTCTCACTACCACCAGCAGTGTTGGGGGGCCTCCCCGGGCCCCTTCTGCCTCTGGGCAGGCCCCAGTCTCCTCCCTGCCTGGCCTCCCAGTGCTCTTCTGTGGCCAAAGGCGGGGTGTCTGTCAGGTGCTGTGCTGGGTCACCAGCCAGGTGCTTGCTGGCAGGTAAGGGCTTGCTCACTCCCAGGCTCTGCCCCAGGACTCCTGCAGGCACTGGGGAGCTCTGTTGGAATTGGTGATTTTAAAACTTCATTATCAGATCTGTGCTGTTCGACACTGTCAGGTGAAATACAATGTGGTGAGCTGCACTGGTGACAATAACTCTTACCTGGGGAGTGGTCTCAAGCAGAGCTTGCTCCTCACAGACCCTCTGAAAAAGGCTCTGGAGCCCCCAGCCCACCTGCAGCCACTCATCCCTCAGACAGGAAGCTGCGGGGTCGACAGGCTGGGACAGCACTTGACAGCTGGCGGGTGGAGGGTACAGGGGCCCAGCTGTGCTACTCGCCTGCCTCTGACTGCCACTCTGGGCCCAGGGAGGCATCGAAGGGCAGGGAGGAGGGCGTCCCGAGAGGCTTGTGGCTCCCCTCTCTTCGCCTGTCCCTACAGGCTAGTTGTGCGGGCAGCAAGGGAGACCCGCAGGGTCTGCAGCCCCAGTGCCTGGGCATGGTAGTGCCAGAACACCATTCCCTCCACCAGGGCTGCCCAGGACGGTGCGGGGAGGGGTGGGTTCCTACCCCAGCCAAGGCACAGTCCCACCTGTTCAGGACTTTATCTGCAGATCTCAGAAGAAAACACACAAAGGCTTTTTTTTTTTTCTTAGCTTCATTTCTCTTAAAAAACAAAAAAGGAACAAGAGAACACTGCACCAGCATCCTAAGTCTCAAACAAAACGAAACCAAGTCCCCTGCAAAGCAGCAAAAACCTGACATCTCTTTGGCAACAGTAACTTTAAATCACCCCACTTCCACTCGCTCCAACCACAGCAGTTAGAAAAATATTCCCTGTGCTGCCCGGCCCAGCCCCCAGCCCCGCCACCGGCCCTCTCCCTGCAGGTAGGAGCCCCCAACCCTGACTGCGGGATATGGCCCCCTTCTCCTTTGGCAGCTGGGGCACAGGACCAGGCAGTGCCCTGCAGAGGAGAGCTGCCCGCACCATCCTGCCAATGGCACCTCTAGAACAGGGCCTTCGAGGCAGGAGTGCAGCCTGAAGGCCCCTCCACCCGATCTCTTTGCTGCCCACCGTGACCACAGCAGGGCCCAGGCGGGAGCAGCCCATTCCCTGGGGGAAGGGTGGCTCATGGGCCAGCTGAGTCAGTGAAGGGAAAACAGCCATGGATTTTGAGATGCGGGCAGCGGAGACAGGACTGACACGGGCGTCCAGGGCCACTCCTCGCCCTGAGCCACCAGGAACCAGGCAAGAGTAGAGGCTCGGGGGTAGAAGAGGCTCAAGCCTGCCCATGCCTCGTCCTGTGAGCACACTGGAGGAGTCACCCAAGGCCAGGCAGCCCCAGCAGCAGACACGGTGGGGGCCACCCAGGGGCACTGGCCTCTCTTGAGAGTGTGTGTGTGTATAGACACCCACTGTGGCTTCGGGCACCCCCAGGGGCTAGCTGCAAACCCAGACGCCGGCGAATTCTGCCCCCAGGGCGAAGCGTGGTCCATCTACTGTCCAGGGCCCTGGGCCTCTCAGCTCACCAGCTTCTCCAGGACACCGCGTGGGGCAGAGGCACCCAAATGTGCTGCCACCAGGACATGGTCCCCACCTTCCCGGTCACCATCTTTGCTGCTGCCTGGCAGGGGCTCCGCTGATGCCAGCCTCGAGGGGCGCGAGCGTCCCGCGTCTCAAGCCTCTTTACTTTTGCCCACGGCACCTGCTGCAGGGCCTGGCAAGGAGGACAACAAAGTGAACACGGTGTCCTGAGACCCCACGGCTCCCGCCTGGCCTCCAGCCCAGGCCCGCATACAGGCCGGCCAGGCCCCCTTCCCGCAGCAGATCTGGCTGTGCCTAGGTGGGAGGTGGACCCATTTCTCCTGCTCCTGCATCGCTGTACCCAGGCCAACAACACTGAGGCCTGAACAGGAAGGGGATCGCCACAGTCATGCAGTGGCCTCCTGATGACCTGCCTGCTTGTTCAGCCACACACAGGCCACCCTGCACCAGGGGTGAGGCTGATAGGTCCACCCGTCCCCTAAGGCTATAGCCACAGGCCAGGGTAGCTAGGGAAGGGTGGGTCTGGGAGGGGTGGAAGATGGCCGGGGCTTCTCCGAGGAGGTGGGAATGTCAGGCATCAGGCATGTGGGCAGGGGCTGGACCCGTAGGGACACCTGATAGAGATGACCCATCTTGGGGCTGAAGCTGACAGTGGAGGGGCGTGGCCGAGAGCGGTGGCTCAGGCCTCCAACAGGATTCCACCTGCCGGGTGGGGGATGCTTCGGTCTGCGGGGGCTTCTGGCTGGGAAGGTTCTGGTGGGAGGGGCTGCGGCAGATCTCGGGGGCAGGGTCAGGCAGGAGAGCCGGGTACAAGCACCCAGGGTCCTGCTGGAAGGGAGAAGGCAGGCGCCTGAGGGCCAGGTGCAGTCCAGGCTAGGTCTGGGGCAGGGAAGGGGCTGGCCCGGCCCGGCCCGGCCCGGGACCCAGACGGAGGGGACCCGTCCTCGGAGCTCTGTGCCCTGCCTCGCACGCGGTCCTCCACCGCAGCCTCACCCAGGCCTCACCTTTCACGGACTCGGCATCCGAGTCGGACACGTGCGTGATGGAGAAGCGGGACGCAGGCGCTGGCGACACCGTAAAGCGCGAGAGGGGCGCGGGTGCAGCCGGGGTGGGCGCGGCCGGGTCCAGGGCCGTGGCAAAGGCTGTCTTGGCTGACATCAGCGGGAAGTCGTCGTCCCACGTGAACCCGCCACCTGCAACGCGAGTCACTGCGTAACTCACGCCTGCAGCCTGGGCTCCCACAGCCTTGGGCCTAGCCCCGCCTCCCGTGACGTCACACACCCAGGCCCCACCTCCCGCGCTGCACGGACTGGACCCGCCTTCCATGACGTCATGGGTCCAGCCCGCCTCCACGACGGCGCGGTCTCCTGCGCGCCGCGGACCAGGTGCACCTCCCATGACGTCACGGGACAGCCCCGCCTCCCATGACGCCACGGGCCAGCCCCGCCCCTGCTCACCCTCTCCCGCTGTGGAGCCCTGCGGGGAGCTGTCATCAACCCCCTGCTGCTGCCGGCCGGGGGCGCTGGGAGAGTCGGGGCTGCCCGTGAGGAATGTGGGCGGCGACTCCTTAGCGCCTGGGAAGGGCTCCCCGAGCTCCCGGGCGGGGCTTTCCTGGAGGGATCAGAGAACACCAGGTGGCTCGGCCGCCCGGAGCCGCGGCCGCTCCCCCCTCATCCTGCAGGAGCGTGACCCCCAGCCCCGCGCAGACCCCAGGCAGCGGCGGCCCACCTGGTCGAAGAGGTAGACGGTGACGTCGTCGAAGAAGGACACGGCCTTCTTCTTGCGATCCAGGTCCTCGCAGAAATCCTCGGACAGCAGGCTGGGCATCTTGAGCAGGCTGCGCAGGTTGCGCGCGCTCTGGCTCTCGGCCACCACCACGGGCACCGCCGGCGCCTCCTCCTCACTGTCCTCGCTGGGCTCCTGGACGCTGTAGCAGCGGAGCTCCTCGTCAGACTCGTCGCTGTCCTCACTGTCCTCCTCTTCCTCCTCCGGCCGGCCCTCCAAGGCCGCAGGGAGGGCGGGCAGAGCCAGGCGGAGTGGGGCTCTGGGGGCGCTTGGGCCACCCATCCGCTTCTGCGGGGCTGGCCCTGACAACAGTCCCGGGGGCCCCTGGAGCTGCGAGCTGTCACCTTCAGAGCTCAGTAGAACCGGGGTCAGCAGGAAAAACTGGGAGCAGCCGGGGCTGGGCCCAGGCGGCACCTCGGCTGGGTCTTGGGGCTCCAGAGGCTCTGGGCCCAGGCCGGAGGTGCAGGTGCTGGGCTCTGGGAAGGACCCCTCCAGCCGCAGTGGTGGGGGCAGCGCCTCCCCGGGGCCAGAGCCCTGCGCCTCCCTGGGAACCCCAGGCTCAAGGGAGGCCTGCATAGACGGCTGCCCAGCGCTGGGCAGGCGCAGCTCTGGCTCGGGAGCTTGGTCCCCGCTGCCCTTATCCTCTGGACCGGAGGTGGCCTCGGCCTCGGCTTCCAGGTCTGAGAAGTACGCCGAGTCTCGGTAGGGGTTCTTCTCGCTGAGGCCACTGAGGGAGGCGGAGAGCCGCGTCTCGGGCCCAGGGCCCTCGCTCTCTGAGGCCAGCTCTCCAAAGGCCTGGGGCTCGCAAGGATCCTGCGCCTCCTTGAGCACAAACTCGGGGGACTCGTAGTTCTCCGTGTCATACCCACTGTCCAGCGCGCGGGGCTGCCCTCCAGGGGGGCCGGCGGCTGATGGGCTGAAGACCTCATAGCCACCGTCGCTGGCTGAGGACGGGATGTCCAGGGAGTCCAGGGAGTCAGGGGTCCCCACCTGCTTCTGCAAAGAGCGGAAGGCTGGCGCTGCATCCGGCCTCTCGGCCTGCGGGCCATCGCTGGACGTGTCGGTGAAGACGCCCGAGGTGGCCTCAGCCGTGTCCTCGTCCTCACTGCTGGGCGCCTCCACCTCGGGGGAGTCGTTGCCGCCATTCAGGGCAGAAGCCAGCTCGGTGACGGACGCCTCGCCACCAGCAGCAGGCGTGGGAGAGTCAGGCAGGGCATCAGGGGCACTGGCCTCTTCCGAGGGAAGTGGGGCGCCCTCCTGGGATGGGGAAGGAACAGAGGGAAGGGGCAGGCGGGGTCCAGCACTGCCCTCAGCGTCAGTGGCAAGCTTGGGCTCTGCC